TATACCAGGCACTGTGCAAGGTGTGTCTCCCCACACTAGCTTCTGTGGCTGACCTTCACAGCCACATTGGAGGTTGGCACTGTCTCTGTTTTAGCAGACGAGTTCACTGAGGCTCAGAGTTACCTGTCAGGAGCCACACAGAAATAAGTGGAGGGGCGAGGACTAGATCTCAGATTTAACTTCAGAGCTCATTTTAGCTCCACAGCCCTCTAAGGTGAAGGGTGAGTGTTCTTCTGCCTTCGGTAATCTCACAAGTGGTAACGAGGCCATCCTACAGTCACTTGAATTGAGAATGACACATGGCCCACTAGGTCAGTCTCACTATATCTTTGTGGAAGGAGAGAAAGCAGAAAGCCCAGGCCAGCGGGAGGGCTGCAGCATCCTCAGCAAAGGGGCGGACAAGGGGAAGGGAGCTGGGTAAGAGACATGCCACACTGCTGCTAAAGAAACCCATGCACTACCCAGACTAGAACCCCCGGGCCTTACATACGGAACCACCGGTGGCGGCGGCGTCCTCCTCCAGCGTCTGGAGGCCCTCCCAGCTAAGAGGTTACTTACCATGTTCTTGGTGAGCTGGTCGCTCTTCTCCAGGCTGTCTCGGATGAAGGACAGTGTCTCCTCCTCCTGGGGGGAAAGCAAAGGAGGACATCACCAGAAGCCGGAGGCTAGAGATCATTCGCGTCCCCGCCCTACGGCCTCGCCCCCAGCCCGGTCTCCTAGTAGGCAATGCCCCCTTCCACTCCAGCCTCCTCCCTGAGTAGACGCCCGGCCCAGATCTCGGCCCGTTCCTTCACCTTCTCCCCCGCCTCCCCGGCCCCAGCCCCACCTGCTTCAGCTTGTCTTCGATCTCCCGCCGCCGGGCGGACGCCTCCTGCGGGGGAATCATGGCTTCGACCCTGCGGCTCCCCCTGCCCAGGATCGTGCCTCAGAGTGCCCTCTCGGCTCCCGTCTCTGTCACACCCACTTCCGCCCGTAGCCCCGCCCCGCGGTGGGTGTGTGTGCTGGTGATGCCATGTTGGGAGTGGCAAGCGGAAGTGCGCCTGCGTGCTCAGTAGAGCGGCCGGGGCAGGTGGCCATCTTGGGTGTGGCCGGAGGGTCTATGGCCGGGTTTTACCTTGGTGAGGGTTCCCGCTCTCAACAGAAAAGGTTTTCGAGCGGTGTTCTGTCCCTCGGCTGGCAGGACAACTATAGTTCACTTGCTGTCTTCTCGGCAAGATTTGGGAAGGCTCGTTCTTCTCACAAAGGTTGCTGATGAATTCGTTCCTCCAGATCGAATTCTGAATTCAGACACCGATGTCACATTCCCCACAAAGCACAGCACAGAGCTTGTCACACAGTAGTCGCCTAATATGTACCCATTTAATGAACGAAAGGCCTGTGTAGTCGTTTTCTCCTTCGGGAAAAAAGCTCATGGAGTGGGCCCTGTGTGTAAGCCTTGGGATGGGGACAGAGTGGTCTCCCATGGACCCAGAGAAATCCAAAACCATAATCCTGACCTGTAAAGGGTCCTTACGCAGTCTTGAGAACTAAGAGAAAGGAAAGGTTTAACTTGTTAGGTGCCACAGTGAAGAATAAGTGGGCTTGAGGGCTGTGGTGCAAAGGGCTTTGGACTCGGACGCACCAGCGCTGAGAGGCTCATTCAGCACTCGCCCGCTCTGAACAGCACCCAGCCCACAGCAGACACTCCAGAAAATCGTGGTAACACCTTGTTATACAGGTCTCAGGAAGGAATTCTCTAGGGTTGTGAACAAACACTTTGAACCTTGTACAATACCACTGCAATTTTTAAGTAAACTACGTGTGTGTGTTTTCACATTTTCTCAGATTTCCTCCTCTAAGTGTAATCTGGTAGTCAGCTACCATGTACTGAGAGCTTTCTGTTTGCCCATCTCTGTTACAAACACCACCTAACCTAATCCTCACAATGAATTTACAAGTCAGGCACAGCTGTGGTTTCCCTTCTGCAGATGAGGAAGGCCAGGCTCAGAGAGTCAGTTGCGCTAAGTCAACACAGCTGGCCAGGAGAGGGTACAGCTGAGGCTGTTCTCGGCCTCCCCATGCTGGGTAGCTCAGGAGTTCTGTTTATTGTTATGAGAAGCTGCCGATCTGATTTTCAGGAAAATCCATTGTGAAAAGCAGGTTCCATTTATGATGACCATATCTGGTAAAGGACAGACAGAATGAAATGGTGAGTTTCGGTAAGTCCCAACCCCATGTCAGGTAGGTGTTGACAAGGGGACACTGATTCAGGAAAAGTTGTCGTTTCCCAGCTACACTCAGCACAAGCTGCTTGAGCAAAAGGAGAAAGTAGTGTTTCAGCTGCAGCCTCAGACACTTGCCTTTCATTTGTAAATGTTCAGAACACAAAGGTGCCAGTCCTAACGGAGTCCCCACCGCTTCCCACTCCTGGAGAGTCTCTTTCCGGAGGGAAGGAGGAAGAGCTTGCTCCCCCAACAGCCTGTTCTTTAGTTTGGCAACTTCCTAACTCAAGACTTTGTGCTCTGAGGAATTAGGTGTACAGTTCCTCCAAATTAATGTTTCTTGGCCCTGCAGCAATACTGAAAGTGACTATGGTATGGCAGAATCACAGAAGCAGATCACAATAGCATATGTTCCCTGGGATTACAGCCATTTAAAATATGATAGATGCACGGCAAAAAAAACTTCAGGAGAATACCACAACATACTGAAATGGTAAGTACAGTAGTTGGAGAATTTTTTCCCCCTCTAGTTTCTAAAGATGCTGAGTTTAAATGAACTTTCTATAAAAACACTTCTAAGAAAACAAATTTTCCTTTTTTTCCATAATGATTAAAGTTAGTTCATTTTCCTCATTTAGAAACCACCAGCCATCAACAGTGCCATCTGATAGACTGGTCAGGAAGGTCTTTCTTCCTTTCTCCCTTCCTCCCTCCCTCCCTCCCTCTTTTCTCTTTCTTTCTTTCTTTCTTTCTTTCTTTCTTTCTTTCTTTCTTTCTTTCTTTC